AATGACATAAGATGTACCTGGAACAAAAAGGAGTCTATGATCAGATCAGTTGGAAAACACCGCATATGATGCTTTTAGAGAGTCCTAGGGTGCATTCACATATGAAAATCTCTGCGAAGTGTTTTGGCAAATAAACACATCTTTTCTTTCCTGCCCGCATGCCAGCTTCATCTGGCCATTCTCTTAGGCTCCCAGCTTCTTCGAACGCCTTTCCTGTGTTTGCAGGGCTTCCCACATCATATCCCCAAGTTAGAACTAGAGTGCAGATCACTCAGCCCTAATATGGTGGGGTTTCCATTGGAAGCCACCTTTGTGAAGCAGGTGTCATGTGACATCCATTCCTGCAAGGGTGGTGGCAGGGCAGAAGCTGTAGTGGTCACATCGGGTGGCCTGCAGCAGAGGTGGGCTAGGCCAAGTTTGCACCCAAAGGTGGTAGCAATGGCACCTTGATCTGAGCAGTATTATGGCATAATTTGGACATTATTCCTGACTGTTTTGTCTTGTTTTAACCCAGTGTCCTATACACATGTTTGAGTCTTAAGGGCCTTTTCTTAAGAAAATACCTATTAACTTGCAGGGACATCAGCATCCCTTTGGTGTCTGCTCCACATTGTGCTCTGAGAGTCCTGCAGTGCCCCTGCCCAGGAACCCCAGGAGCAGAGGCCGACTGTGCACCGGGTAATCCCAGTGCTTATCAGCTCTGGGAACCAGGCCAGGGCAGCCGTACTCCTCTCTGTACCCAGCGGACTGCCAACTGCAGCCTGCGTAGAGAACCACTAAGGTAGGTAAACCATTATCCTGGATTCTGGATTTGGAAGTGTTCTGGGATTCAGGTGGCCATTAAGAGCTGGCTTCTAGGCACCACGAGAGAAGCTTGTCCTCATGCTCATAGGAACATCGCAGGCCATGGCCAAGGCCATCAACGCTAGCTAGCATGGCCAAGAGAAGGGTGGAGCTGCTGAATGAGTGAGTGGCCTTCATCCTCGGTGGGAGGACTGCTCTCCTGTTCTCAAACCGGGTGCTGACCGGCAAGCTTCTGCATCAGCACATTGGCCCCTCACCGAGGGGGTCTGTGGGAGGATGGCCCTAATAGCCTTCTGCACATGAGGCCTGGGAGATTGACAGGTGAGAAGGAGCATAAGAGTCAGCATGTGCGAGGACTAAGTGAGCCACAGTGAGGAAAGCAAGGGCCAGCTATCCGTGGACTTTGAGAAACAGCACAGTTTTCAGCTGAGTGGTCACAGTACATTCAGCAGAGGAGCTCTTCCTATTTTCCCTGGCATGGAGCTCACATGGATTTGGAAGACTGATCTCCCACAACTGAATCTAGTATGCTACAGTGTGCTTTCTTGTGCTTATTGTTTAGGAGGAAGTGGACAGTGTTGTCCAAGGAAGTTATGTGGGTAGTTATCGAATTCCCATTAGCCATTTTAAAACACTGACGATAGCTCTGTGGCTCCGGGTGACTTCAGGCTGGGAAGTCGCTCCAGTCTTTCCCTTTACATGTTCTCTGATGAGAGCAGCCCTCCAGCTCCGCCCTCTTTCTCAACAATCACGTTGAACAGTTACAAAAGCTCAATGAGGAAAGTCTGGTTTCTCTCCTTGTAGACACCTTTTTGAATGCTCTGCCCAACAGAACGACAGGATGCAAACGTGTGCAGTGCCTGCCTAAAGCAGCGCCACCAGCCAAACAATAGCTCAGGACGCACCTGTTAAAGCGGCTCAGATGGTGGCAGTTGGGTTTCTGTATGAACAAGTTCTGCAGGGCTCTCTTCCCCAAACGACACACACCAGGGTTCATTTTACCTTTAGGAGGTGACAGCGAATGCCAGGGTTTGCCCAGTCACTAGCAGTTCCTCCCAGTTTGGTGACCATTGTGTTCACTGGGCTGAGGGCAGCTTACACACAGGAGGCTTTGCCTTATTTGCTGGGCCCAGGGCTGTAATCGGCAGGGCTCTCGGTCAAGGAAGCCACTATCTAAAGGCAAACAAATGTGACTTTTCCTCGATTCCTTCGTGTATTCATTCAACAGCCTACACTAGACACCATGTTTATGCGCCTCGCCCCATGGAGTCTAGAGTGGAAGCCTGACACTAACCAAAAATTACACAGACAAATGACTCTTCTGTTCAGGGGTATGAGAGAAAGGACAATATGGCAGCACCTTGTGGGCAGGGAGCTGCACCCTGCCGGGGGTTAGAAAAGTCTTCCCTGAGAAAGTTGTATTCACTGTTGTGCAATTTAACTTCTCTGTCTTCAGGCTGCTCAGGGTGGGGCTCTAGCAGGGGCACTGGTAGCTGCTGTAAAACAAAGCCACAGGTCTGTCCCTCTGAGCCTGGGACTTGAGAGGAAGGTGAGCACAGCCGGTGGTGGGGGTGGGAGGGGGGGAATGCTGAGCAGTTTGGGGGCATTTTTGTTGATAGACCATCAGGAAAGGCAGGACTGTGACTGATGCAGAGGAGGGGAATGTCATTCCCAGCAAAGGGAATAACCAAGACTAAGTCATCGAGTCTTAGTGGAACTGTGGAGAGAGATTTGGGTAGAAAGATGGGCTCCTTTACCCAACACTTGTTGAGCATCTACTCTGTGCCAGGAGTTTGCGTTCCCGGAGATAGTGATGAATATGACAGGTATGTGTGGCCTTCATGGAGCTCACCAATGGAGAAGGCCCATTAACTAACTTAACACACAAATCTGCAACAAAACAGCATCAAATTGGGAAAGGAGCCGTGCAGTGGTGCAGCGATGGGGAGAGCACAGTGGGCAGAGGGAGGCTGCTCCAGAGAGATGCTTGGGGAAGGTGTCCTTGAGGAGGTGATGTGGAGGCAGGAGGCCTGAGGGCACAAGGAGGCCAGTCATAGGGGAAGACAAGAGAGGGAGCAAGCCCTGGGCACTATAGGTGCAGAGGAGGGAAACATGTGGAGGGTACTAAGAATCAGAACCTAGGGGAGCCGGAATGGTGGGGCAGGAGGAGATTGTGTCATTCCCGAAGGCCCCGGAAAGTCAAGGCAAAGAGCTGGGGTTTTATTCAAGGTGACAAGGAAGCCACTGAAGGACATTAAGTGAAAAAGGAGGTGATTCAATTCTAGCTGCTATCTGAAGAACAGATGGGAGGGACACATGGATGGTAACATAGCAATTAGGAGACTATTTCAGATGACACAACGAGAAGGGATATGGCAGTAGTGGAAGCAATCAGTCGGCTGGAGTTGGGTTTCAGAAATGAAAATGATTGAGCCTGCTGATGTGGGGTGCGGGCTGGACTCGGGATTGAGACACAGCAATAAGGATAAAGGGGAACAAAGGACGTAACTGGTGTTTCTGCTTTGAGCAAACAGCAGCCATTTACAGAGGTGGAGGAACTGAAGGACAAGCAGATTGCTGTGGGGAATCACAAGTTTGGTATTGGCTACACCTGTAAGATAAACAAGTGGTGATACCAGGTAGATAGAGAAAGACCTCAGCTGGTAGTATCAATTTTGGAGTCATCACATATAGACAGTGTCTAAAGCCATAGCTATGAATGAGATCACTTAGGGAGTGAGTGTAGAGAGAAGAAAAGTGGGTTGGACACTAAGCCCTAAGAAACTTACGTCTAGAAGTTAGGTTGAGGAGTGAGGAGTAAGGTAGGGGCAAATCCGAGAAGCTGAGGCTAGTGTTGATCCAGATGCAGGTCTATAGGGGGGCCAGTATCAACTGTATTGAAGCTGCCAAGAAGCCTGGGAGATGAGGAGAGCAAAGTATTCTTCTGACTTGCCAATGTAGACATCTTCGTGTATGGTGGGCATGGGAACCAGAATGGCATGTGCTAAAGAATTAATGGAAAGTGAAATGCAGATAATTCTTGAAAGATTTTGCTATGAAGGGAAACTAAAGAATTGTGATAGCCCTGGCCAGCATGGTTGTTAATTGGAGTGTCATCCTGTAAACCAAAAGGTGGCGGGTTTGGTTCCTGGTTAGGGTACACACCCAGGTTGCGGGGCCCAGGCACATGTGGGAGGCAACCAACCGATGTTTCTCCCTCACATCAATGTTTCTTTCCCTCCTCCCTCCCTCCCTCCTGTCCTCTCTCTCTGAAAGTAATAAAATACAATACAAAGAATTGGGATAGTGGCTGGGGCATCATGAGGTCAAAGGGCTTTAAAAACATTTAAGTTAGTGAAGTATGGTAGCAACCATCTCAGGTAGAAACTATAGTTTAACTTTAACCCTGCTGTTTGGCTTCTGTACTTATTTGCTTTGTTTAATAATAGAAGTTATTTTAATTTTCTGAATTATATAAATCACCCCATTCGATTAAATACCCTATTGATTGTAATGTGGATATCCCATTGGTTGTGGTCATACTGGTCTTAGAAAGCACATTTTCCTTTTCCTGGGAAGGACAGCACAGTTATCCCAAGGTCAGAGGGCTCCAGTTAACGTGTCCCTGTTGACTCAGTGATCCGGAGACCCCAAAACTATGATTCAGATAACATGCTGCTTCTGCTTCTGTAAACTGCCTTTTTGCAAACCAGGCTCCTCATTCCAGACCCGAGGGCTCTAGATAATGTGTTTTTGTCAATTCAGTGATCTGGAGACCCAAAACTATAATTTAGATAACATGCTGCTTCTGCTTCTGTAAACTGCTTTTTTGCAAATCAAGTTCCTCATTCCAAACCTTGGGATGTAATCAATACCTTTGTGATCTTTGCCTATATAAATCTGGTGTTGCAGCCATCTTATCATTATGAGATTTTGGAGAGCAAAATGACCCCTCATAGTCCCGGATTGCAATAAATATGACCCTTTAATTCGACTTCTTGAGGCGTCCTTGTGTGATTCGCGGGGTACATTACAACATTAGGAGATACGAAAGTATGTTTGTTCAAAGATGGACATGATCCAATAGAAAGAGAGCAGTTGAAATTAGTGCAGGAGAGAGAGCGGAGGGAGAGATGTCTTTGAGCTGAGATGGTGTATGAGTTTCCCATGCCTGCTGTAACAAACTACCACGAACCGTGGGACTTAAAACACACGTTTATTCTCTTCCAGTTCTGGAGGTCAGAAGTTCAAATACAGTTTCACTGGACTAAAGTCAAATTATCAGTAGGGCCAAAGGCCCCTCTGAAAGCCCTAGGGAAGAATCTGTATCTTCGTTTTTTTCCAGCTTCTGAGTTGCATTCCCTGGCTCACTGTCCCTTCCTCCGTCTTCCGTCAGCAGTGAAGCATCTTCAAACCTCTCTCTGCTCTGGTCACACCGTCTGCTTGTCCACAGTCAAGTTTCCTCGGCCTCTTTATTATAAGGACACTCGAGATTACACGTAGGGCCTATCCAGATACCCAGGATAATCCCCCACCTGGAAATCTTTCCTCTTCAATCACCCCCGCAAAGTCTCCTTTGTCCTGTAATGTCTCACTCAGAGGTTCCAGGGATTAGGACTGGGAATGGCTCTAAAACACCGCTGGAGGACTGGCCTTGCTAGGAGGAGGGTAATTTCTATCCGTGTAACCAGAGGAAGAGGGGGAAGAGGCTCGTGCAGGGCTGTACAGATTTGGTGGTGAAAAGATGAGGGAGGGCATGCTTTTTGGCTTTAATTTCTGAGAGAATTATGAGGTCATATTGACAGCTGAGAGGGATGATGACTGAAGGAGAGTGGAGAGGGGATTGCATACAGTGGAAAAACAAACTAACTTTTAGGCTTTTCAGCATCACTGCAGGAGAGCATGGCAAGGTAGTCAGTATGAGGATGAGAATCCATGGGATGTAATTTGATCAGGAGGCAAGGGAAAACAGGAGGCAAGGGATGGTGAGACAGTGAGATGGTGGGATTGGCAGCTCACAGGTCATGATGAAGGGATACTGAGCAAAGTGAACTGTAAGTGCAAGAGATATTGGGCAGAGTTGGATGCCTTTAATCAGGATTTTGGAGACAGTGCAGTTTCTGGTGATGCCAAGTTCTAGGGTTTCCTTTTTTGGAGGGAGTCTCTGAAGGACAAATAGATGACCATCACCTAGATGTTGAAGACATCAGGAATGAAGACAGGAAAGGGTGGCCCGGAAGAAAGTCTTCAGTAAATGGGGTGCCGGTGGGGGGAGTGACCTGGAAGAAGTTAGACGATGAACGTAGATAGATGACAGGGACCAGAAGAGCAGTAAAAGCTACACCTAATGGCATCAATTAAATGGGAGCTGGGGGTTGGCCAGCAGAAGGTGAAGAAATGGTTAGGGAGGAACAATGGGGAGCAGGAAAGCTACCTTCTGCATTTCCTGGCTCTAAGGGACTCAGGTGTGAAAGAGTAGTTAACAGTTAGAGGGCTCCTATGTTTCTACATTTGTACTAAGGAAAGAAGTGGATGCAATAAGAATGTGTGCTAATCTTTTGTTGGAATTTCCCAACATCACAGTGAAAGGGTTTGGGAAGTATGAGATTTGCGGGAGGATAGAGATGAGAGTCTGGCAATAGGTTATTGGAGAGGATCCCTGGATGTTTAGTAGTGAGTTTTATAAGGACACAAAACACATGGAATCACATCACAGAGTGCTGGAAGCTAATTCCAGCAGGGCATGATAAATGCAAGTTTTCAAAAGGTTGATGGTGTGGACGAAAGGGGCCACACGCTGACCTGACAAGCTCAGGGAAGGCCTGTGTGGCAGCCTAGCAGACTCAGAGACCTAAAATAACCACAAAGGATGGTCTGAAATTAAACTTTGACTAAAAGCAGTTATGGTGGGCAGTTATGTCCTAGGCCGGTATCTTCACTGACAAGATCAACTTTGATCCTTACTGAGCCCATTTGCCTTTTTGCCTCTAAGATAACATTCCTTTGAAGTGTCTGGGTAACTTGTATAAATACGGATGTAACCCTGCCATTCTCCGGAGCACTATCTCAATTCATTGAGGTTCTGCTGCCCTGCTTCAATGGTTTTTTACGTTAACAATGGGCTTCTATATTCAGCAGGGCTGAATCATATTACCTGTTGCTGGAATAGCAGAAAGCATTTCCTCAAACCTGAAGATCTACATGTTATTACCTGCTGCTGGCCAAACAGCTGAACAGCTGTAGGCATTTCCCAAAACCTGAGGATACAAATGATTGCCTGAAGACAGCTGAGGGCAGTTCCCCCAACCTGAAAATGCCTACTGTATACCAAGCTTACCTTTTGATATGTATATCTGCTTTGCTATAGGCCAGAAAGCCCTGGGTCCGGAGATTCAGGGAGAACTTGGTTACTGTATCTAAGACTCCTCTGGCTCCCCCATGTATTCCAAATTTATATTTCTAGTCTCTTTATTAATTTACACGCAGCCCCTTTTTCAGATTCCTGAACCCTTCTAGAAGCTGAGAAAGACCCTGGCAACAGAGGACCTTGAGAATGTGTCTTACCTTGAGGTTGGGGTGTTGAGCAGCAAACTATCATGGTCAAAGGCAGGCTTGAGGAAAATTAATCTTGAAGAAAAGAGGTCCTTCCTTAGAAAGCTATTGCAACAGGCCAGTATTAAAGGTTCAGGGTATAAATTTTGAGAATACTGGAAGAAATGATAGCTCTAAGAAATGTGCTTGGTTTGAATTATAGCAGATAAGGGAAATGAGAGAGCGAGTGGGAAATGGTTCTCATGTTTCAAGCTTAAGTGGGGAGGAGAATAGGTTTTGAATGGAAAGTAATGGTTTTGGTATTGGGCAAATCATGGCTAAAGGTTCAGCGGTGGCTGAACCTGAGGCTGGAGCCCTGTAATGACGGGTGAGTCAGTGGGCTCTTCCCCTGATGGCAGGCCTGGAGTCCCTGCCTCCAGTTTCCCAGACTGAGGATAATCAAGGGCCAAGCAGGATCCAGGAAGCTAACCATGGATTGTCTCTAATTTAGTTTCAGACCCCAGGGCAGGGTCTGAGCCTTTAGTTACCACAGGCAATAAGGGCTGTGAGGTGTGAACTGTGAGGTGCCCAAGACCAGGGGATGCCTTTCAGCCATTTCACAAGGGACAAGGTTCGGCCAGCGTAGGGATGCTGTCATTCATCTTTATAACTCTCCTGCACCACGACGTAGGGCACAGTAAGACACACCAGCTGGTCTTGTGAGGAGGAGGCCTGCAGGACTTGTCTCCGAGAGGCAGCTCTGACTTTCCTCCCTATTCTCCCCCAAGTTAAGGCAGGGCAGGGATAACACCTTTGAGCTCAGACTCAGAATCACAGTTGATGTCTCGCCAAGAATTTGACTCATTCAGGTGCACACCCCACCCACTTTTGCTCAATTTCCCACATTCTGCTGACAGTCATCTCTTTTCTTCCCTTTGCCCAAAAGGCCGGGTCTCTGTATGCCAAGATTAACCGAGGCTGACATTCCCTGGGTGGCATTCCTGCCTGGTCTCCGACCCTCCAACATTCACCCTCTGAGCAGAGCGGGCACTGCCTGGGTCTGGGGAAGCGCAGGGACCCGGTGGGACTAACCAGAACCGTCGCGGGAAGTGCCCACGGCCTGGCACGTAGACCTCACCGGGGAACCAGGACCCCCACCTCTCCCGCCCCCGCTCTCGGCGCTGCGGGCGCGCGCACTCAGTCTGGGGCGGGCGCGCCGAGCGGGGCGGGGCGGGGCGGGCGAGGAAGGGGCGCGGCTTCGGTGGGCGGCGCGCGGGGCAGTCGGCAGCGGGGGCGCCGCGGAGGGGACCGGCCGCCGCGATAGGAACGTGCCAGCCCCGCCGCGATGCCCGCGCGCCCCGGACGCCTCTTCCCCGCGCGGCCCCGGCTGCTGGCCCCGGCCGCGCTGCTGCTGCTGCTGTTCGGCCATGGCGGCGGCGGGCGCTGGGGCGCCAGGGCCCAGGTGCCGGGCGCGGCGGCGGATGAGCCCTCCGCGGTGTTCGGGGGGGACCCGGAGGACCCGCACACCAAGCACCTGTACTCGGCCGACATGTTCACGCACGGGATCCGGAGCGCCGCGCACTTCGTCATGTTCTTCGCGCCCTGGTAACTGGACGCGCCGTCTCCTCGGGCCCCGCCGGCGCGGGCCGAGCCCCCCAAACCCCGCAATCTGCGCTCCCGGAGCGGCGCTGGGCCGGGGCCTGGGGGCGCGGGGACCCCGGCGGGCCGCGGGGCGGGCCGGGGCGCTCGCGGCTGACGTGGCGCCGGGCGGCCGGGGCGGTGCAGGAGGGGGCGGTCCCCGACCCGGGAGCCCGGAATAGGCCGTCCCTCCCCAGCCCAGGGCCCCTCCCCCAGTCCCTGGACGCGGCCTGGGGAAGGGCACTCGTGGACCTTTGGGGCTGCTGGAAGCCTAGGGGCACCCCTCAGTCCCCTGCCCCAAACTTGCTGCGCCCGCCGGAGGCGGAGGCCTGACGGAGCGGCGGGACCGGGGCCACGTGCGGCGGCCAATGGCAACCGGGGGTCCCGCCGCGGACTCTGCACGCGCCGCAGGGCTAATCGTCTGCCTGAGGGTTTAATGGGAAAATAGGAACTCACAGAGGTGTGAATTCCTACTTTGTGTGCTCCTGGGGTGGGAAGGCTGGCCCAGGCAGAGAGGGTTCCTGTGCCGCCCCGAGCCGCGAGACTAATGCGAATTCTGGGGACGCCCCCGCAGCTCCAGGGGATGGGGCTGTGCTCTTGTGACCGGAGCCCACTGGCCCTCCGCTCAAGGCTGTCTTCTGGCTCCTCCCCTCTGCTCTCTTGGGGCCTGCTCATCCAGAAAGTGTGAGATGGCAGAACTCACCGCGTAGGAAGGACGCTACCTCTTGCCGTGGTTCTGGGGCAGGGGCTACCCTCAGAGACCCCTACCCTGGGAGTTGTCCTAGCGAAGGACTTCCTGTCATTCACACCGGCACAGGTGGTGTTTTTCTTCCCGGATGCCGCAGTGAAGGGAAGTCCTCACGGGGCAGAGCAGAAAGCTAGTGTTTGGGCACAAGGCAGTTTGCAGGCTTTATTGCAGAATTTGGCCTCTTTCCCCAGTGTGGGGGAGAAGCTCATTGAGATGTGGGAAAGGGATGTAAGAAGGAACAGAGAGAAGATGCCTAAGAAAAACGGCCTATTCAGAAATTTTGCTGGCGAAGTTGGAGGAACTTTTTTCCCTTTCTCGACATATTCTAGTTATTACTGAGTTTTATTCAGTTTAGTTGGAGTTAAATCAACTTTCGGGGGCGGGTTTGAGTCACAGCTATCGTGTATTAACAGTGTTTCAAGTTCCCAAGAACCAACTGACTTGGATTTTTAGAACCACTGTGGTATAGAAAAGTACATAAAATAATTATTCAGTATTAATAGTTACTTTGGGAAGGAGTATTCTTAGAGTAACTATTTCAATTATGTACAATACTTAATTGGAGCTAATTCCAGTGGAATAAATCTCTCTCTATTTTCTGTTTATTTTTTGAAGAAAAAAAACTATGTAGACATAGTAAGTCCATGCATGGAATGGAGTTTTAATTTTGGAGAATCTGTAATACTCACCAGCTAGTCCTGGACTGAGTGAGGGAGAAGACTGGCAAATTTGAGCTCTTGTTATTAAGTAAATTGTTTTTTCATTTATGTGGTTTATAATCTTTTAGGTGGATGCCCCCAGAAAAAGTAACTTAGAAAGTTTTGTTTTTTTTAAGGACTAACCTTTCTTTTTTAAAAAATATTTTTTATTGATTTCAGAGAGGAAGAGAGAGGGAGAGAGAGATCATTGAGAGATGAGAGAGAATCATTGATGGCTGCCTCCTGCACGTCCCCCACTGGGGATGGAGCCTGCAACCTGGGCATGTGCCCTTGACGAATTGAACCTGGGACCCTTCAATCCACAGGCCGACACTCTAGCCACTTAGCCATACCAGCTAAGGCAAAGTTTTTATTTTGCTTCTGAATAGTCTACTACAAAATATTTAAACAGATATGTGGGGTTTTCTATGATGACATTTAAAAGTTACACTTTAACAGCAGATTGGACCTCAGCTAGAATATGCAGTGGGTTCTCCCCAATCCCTCATCGCATTCCAGTTTCAGTTTCTGTGGGATACTGGAAGCCCACATGTGATTTGAGATCAGGGGTACCCTGCAGAGAAAACATTGATCTTTCTATTTTTGCTCTGAACTTGACAGATAGAGGGTAGCCCTGCTGTAGATTTTGTGCTAGTTATCTTCTGTAGGGCTGGTTTGCAGGTCACACTAAACCTGGTGGTGACAGCGAGGTGAAGGTTGGGGCCACCTCCTTGTGAGGACCAGGTAGCTTTGCTCTGCTGCATGGCCACAAGACGCCTTCTGAATGCAGCTGCTGTCTTACAGGTTCATGCTTAGCCAGAAGGGTCCCAAACCAGAAGTGCTAACTACATGGCACCCGTGGATCTATCACTGAGAAATTGCCGAACGCTTAAGTATACCACAAGCATGTGCTAGATACAGGGAACACAGCTGTGAAAAGGATAATGCTGTCGTCCCGGCCCTTTTACTACATATACATAGATATAATTCCCTCACAATTATCTTTCAGAAAAGAGGGAATCATATTGTTTTGGAATATCTTATAAAGCAGGGATTCTCTTAGCTGCCCAGGAAAGAGCTGCTTAGGGAAGATACATTGGCTTAAGCACACTTTTTTTTGTGCTACCTTTAGGTATGTATTATAGAGATCATCTGTCAGGAAAGAAGAGAAATTATCTTATGGAGAAATTATTTTGAGGATAAGCAAGCATCCTCAAAGCATTAAAGATCACTTTAGAAAGCAGCACAGCAAGCAGTTACACTGTAGACATCATGCATGCACACTTAGCAGGTGAATGGGGGAAAAAGTACCATGTGCTGTAATGACTGTGCTAGAAGCTTGAGATAAAGTTTCTAGAATTCAGTCATGGCCCTGTAGACAGCAGACAATAAAGAAGATCAGCTATATGACAATAGACTTAGTTGATGGGAAAGATGCTGATACTGTTACGACATGTAAAGAACAGCACAAAGCAATAATTCCAAGTTAACATTATTTTAAATGATCGGTGATTTAAAAATATCTGTAGTTAAATTCATACAACTACTATTATAAGCATACATTTGAGTATATCAAATTTAGAAGTGTGAGTGGACACAAACTTTTTTAAAGCTTCTCATTGGAGAGTATGCAGAATTGACTTAATTTTGGGGCAGGCTTGCATTTGCAGATATTGGGTATATGGTGGAGGAGACCTGACTAAATAATAATGGGGCAATTATAGCAAAAAGTGCGAAGCTGCACCTATAGAGGAAGAGAAGAGAATGGGCACCAAATAGCTTGAGAAGTCAGGGCTGGAGGAAGTGACCCCTGAACTAAACCTGAAGGGCAAACAGCAATTAGCTAGGTCAGGGGTCGGCAAACTCATTAGTCAAATATCAACAGTACAACGATTGAAATTTCTTTTGAGAGCCAAATTTTTTAAACTTAAACTACATAGGTAGGTACATTGTTATTAACTTAATTAGGGTACTCCTAAGGCTTAGGAAGAGCCACACTCAAGGGGCCAAAGGGCCGCATGTGGCTCGCACATGTGGCTCGCGAGCCGCAGTTTGCCGACCACAGAGCTAGGTGGGTTTAGGGAGGAAGTGTTAGAGCGCATGTAGTGATTCCAGGGCAAGCCAGGTTCTGGCCCTTTCAGAAAACTGCAGACACTGCAGTGTAGTACAGGGGGAGACTGCAAGGGAAGGAGGCAGCTGGGGCACAGAGGTGATGGGGGAGGTCAGTAGGGGCACCTCAAGGAGGACCTAACACAGTACCTTGCTAAATTTGGATGTCATGATAAGAACCCTGCAGGGACTTTCAGGGGGGTGGGTTGTAAGCAGGGGAGTGAGGTTTTGTACTGATTGTGAGCTAACCCATCTCTGTTGTGGTGTAAAGAAGGGATCCTAGAGCCCCATTGCCCCGTGGAAATGGCTGAAGAGGGGTGAGGGCTGGGCATCCTCTGACCCTGCACTCAGCACACTTGTTACTCTCACCTTGTTGTAGGTGTGGGCACTGCCAGCGGCTGCAGCCTACTTGGAACGAACTGGGAGACAAGTACAACAGCATGGAAGATGCCAAAATCTACGTGGCTAAAGTGGACTGCACGGCCAGCTCAGATGTGTGCTCCGAGCAGGGGGTGCGAGGATACCCCACGTAAGTGGGAAGGGCGCATGCTTCCCGTATCTTCCAGGTTTTCCACTCCTTTTGGCCAGCTGCCTTTGGCCAAAGAAAGCCCAAGTTACATTTTTGGGACCTTCCTATGTAGTTCTGAGGTGTGAGGGGCTGCTAAAATTAAGCAGGCAGTCCCTGTTACTAGGAAAGATGATATTTAACACCAGGTCTATATTAGGTGTCTTTTTGTACCTTCTATGGAAAAAGCCTTTGATTAATCAGTGTTGGGTTTTCCTGTTTATAGGAACATGTGTTTTCAAGATAAAAGTGATGATCTCTATGAGGTCCTGTCATGTTTGATGTTCATGAGGACATTACACAATTGAGTACAAATTTTGTCAGCAATTTAGTATTGATTTTTGATCACTCTGTTATTCCTAAGCATCTTCCTAGAGTATTTCCCATGTGACTAGCACAAGGCTATTTCTTTTGGACAGAAAGGTCACAAAGTGGGATACAGTGGTTCTGACAAGGAACATGACTTCCTCTCTTGACAGTTAAAAGAGTTTTTTGGTTTTAAGAAACTGAAACTGGCTTAATAAACAAAGAAGGGGATTCATTAGTAGGCTGTGAGGGAAGCTCTGAGACTCAGCTCCAAAGATTTGGGGGCCTGTTTTTGTGTGTCTCCCTTAAGATGTCTTTACCTTCTGGCTCTGTGTCTCTGCTGCCAGGTGGACTTGGCCCACCACTCACTGGCCCAGCTTAGACGGGTGTTCATTCCGGGAACAGTCTTGTGGCCAGAGAGGCAGGATCTCTCAGGAAAACAGCAGCCCCATTCAGACCACACGGCAGTGGAGAGCCCTTCTCCAAAAAAGGGAAGGGGCTGTTTCCAGGAGGACGGCGGGGGGATTGGCTGTTGCAGCCCCAGAAATGCTTGTTCACATTGATGTGTTAAGGAAAGTCTGTCTAAAACCTGAGCTTATCTCCCAACCTGAGAGTCAGGATGGAAACGCGGAAGGAACTCTGGGCTGGAACCTAGAAGCCAGGGTTGAATCCCAGCTCTACCATCTAGTTATCGTGTAACTCTGGCCGCACTGGTTAACTTCTGAGTCTAAAGTAGGACACTGAGACTCACCCCACCCCCCTGAACATTGTTATGAAATAGCATGTGTGCAAACACCATTCTGAGCATACCCAGCAAATGTTAGGTTTCCCCTAACATTTGGAAATTTGGCATTTCCACATAGGACTCTGGAATTCTTGGTCTTTGGTGAATGCTCGCTAATCTAAGTGCCATAGTTCAAGTCTGCATCAAGTCAGGTCAAATAGAGATAAAACTTCCCACCATGTGTACCTACCTAAAGGCACCAATGTCCTGTGCGTCATCACGTTGCCTTTAACGTAAACTCTGCTGGGATGGAGTGTCCCAAAGAAGCGGTCACTGAGTCATGGGAGCAGGAGAGGAGATGGATGCTCACTTATTTGAGAGCCTGTGACTGCAAAGTGCAGGGGCTGCAGAGATGGTTGACTGTGGTGGCCACTCTTAAACAGCTGGCCATCTGTGGCCATGTGGCTGTTTGCACCACCAACCATGCCACAGGGAAGGCGAAACAACGGGAGCTGTCACAGGGGTGAGAGGGCGCACAGTAGGGGCATCAGGGAGGGGAGTAGAGGTTCCATCTGGACTTGACTATATGAGCTATCTGTCTGCACTGCTCTTCACAGATTTTAAAAGATCCATGTTGGATCATGTGTCCAACATTATTAAGAATATAAGGTCTCCCAGATAAAACCATGCACTGGTTTTGTGTTGAAAAAAAGGTAAAGTGAGCTTACAGTATGCCAGATGTGATTTGGGAAGGACCTTGCATGCCCATGACACACAGGTGCCTGGGGAGAGATTTGTTTCATTGAAGGCAGGAGGCAGATGTGTTGCATAAAATGTAGTCACAGGAGGGCGTTCATAGGTTACCTGTTGAGCCTTTACTTCCTCTAAAATGGTCCTCATCTCATAGAGATCTTGCAGGGCCTGAATCGGATAGCGGATGTCAACGCCTGAGCGTGGGGTGTGTGTGTTGGTACATCTGCTTTGTGTCATTCTTCCTGGCCCCTGTGACTGGAGGCGAGGATGGGAGAGGGAGGCATTGAGTCCCCGTGCCCCTGCAGGTGGCTGACTGTGCCCAGGAAGGTGTTGAGGTTCTCCTGTGGACCCAGAAAATAACCTTCATCACCTGGGAGAACGTGAGCAGGGGCAGGACTGAAAGAGGCTCCTAGGGCTGCCGTAACAGAGTGCCACAAGCTGCTGGTTGAAAAGAACAGACATTTATTCTCAGTTCTGGAGGCCAGCATCACAAAAACAAGGCATCAGCAGGGCCATGCTCCCTCGGAACCTGTCAGGAAAGCCTACTTGCCTCTTCCCTGCTTCTGGGGGTTTGCTAACAATCTTTGCTGTTTCTTAGCGTGTAGACGCATCCCTCCAGTCCTCCATCTTCACGTGGCCTTCTCTCTCTGTGTCCAAATTTCTCCTTTTCATAAGCACACAGTCACAGTAAATGAGAGCTCACCCTATTAGCCTCAGTTTAACTTACCTCCGTAAAAATCCCCTTTCTACATAAGGCCACATTCACAGGTACTGTGGTTAGGACTGCAACAGATCTGATCTGGGAGACACAGTTCAGTCCATAGCACTATCTCATTGCCTGTAGCAGAACTTTTGTCACATTGTTTTCCACAGTGACCCATAAATTTGGTCCCCGACAGTCTCCTTGAAAAAGAAATAGATTACCAAAACTCCCAAATGCCCATTTGGAGGTCGGTGGTAGCAGAACAGTTTGGTCTTGTACCCTGCGGCTCTCTCTCCCTCCACAGTGAGAATTGAAGTCAGACTGAAAAGTCTGGGGAGGAAGCTCTAATTTTATTCCTAGGCTCTATGGACTTTAGGAAGAATCTCAGACTTGGGCAGGCAGAGAAGTTTTCAGTCCATCAAGAAGAGATTTTTAAAAAGTGCTTATTTTGTTTTTGTTCAAAGCACACCACGTTGGGAAAATATCACAGGTTGGGTTTTACTGATTTTTAAAATTAGCAAAGAAATGGGGAATGAGTTTGACAACGCCTGGTCCTTTCTGATATTTGAGGATCCTGAAGCTCTTTGGAGAGAGATGCTTGGAAGGGAGAAGGGAGGCAGAGAGGACAGTAGCATCTTCTAGTTCTCTGGGCCAAGCACATGTTTCCAGAGCTTTATATGGTCCCAGGGGTGGGTCTGGGCATTCTTTTCTTCTTCTTTTTTAAAATTATTGTTTAAGTATTACATATAGTATTACATATGTCTCCCTTTTTCCCCATTGGCCACCCCCCAGCACATTCCCTCACCCCCCTAGTATCTGTGTCCATTGGTTATGTTTATATGCATGCATACATGTCCTTTGATTGATCTCTTACCCCCCTCCCTCCCCTGCCTTCCCTCTGAAGATTGACAGTCTGTTCAATGCTTCTCTGTCTCTGGATGTATTTTTGTTCATCAGTTTATGTTGTTCATTATATTTCACAAATGAGTGAGATCGTGTGATATTTTTCTTTCTCCGACTGGCTTATTTCGCTTAGCATAATGTTCTCCAGGTCCATCCATGCTATTGCAAATGGTGAGTTCTTTCTTTTCTTTTTTTAAAAAAAATATATATTTTTATTGATTTCAGAGAGGAAGGGAGAGGGAGAGAGAGATAGAAACATCAATGATGAGAGAGAAGCATTGATTGGCTGCCTTCTGCACACATGTGCCCTTGGCCGGAATTGAACCCGGATCCTTCAATCTGCAGGCCGACACTCTATCCACGGAGCCACACTGGCTAGGGCTGAGTTCTTTCTTTTTTACAGCAGCATATTCTTTTTTTTTTTTTAATATATTTTATTGATTTTTTTCAGAGAGGAAGGGAGAGAGATAGGGAGTTAGAAACATCGATTAGAGAGAAACATCGATTAGCTGCCTCCTGCACATCTCCTACTGGGGATGTGCCCGCAACCCAGGTACATGCCCTTGACTGGAATCGAACCCGGGACCTTTCAGTCCGCAGGCCGATGCTCTATTCACTGAGCCAAACTGGTTTCGGCCAGCAGCGTATTCTTAATTGTGAAATCATACTTTGGAGTTGTTTACATTGCTAAACTTCAGGAAGTCACAGGCATCCTGGCCAAATCTAGTTAGATTTCGGCTTTTTGTTATGGATGTAAAAGTATAAGCTGCTGAGGAAGTGGCATGAATATTCTTTGTTGGAGGCACATTAGGAAAGTCACCTAAGCCCATCGCAGGATCTTAGCTTCTGGGTGAGGCCATTAAGCCTGTTTTAATGTAAAGATTTACTGCAGCCAATGACGTCATTTTAAGTCATTTGGGGAGGTAGCTAGTCAAACCCACAGTTCTGATCGCTGCACATCTTACATTTTGACACTGCATTTTGGGCATCTGCTAACGAACTCCAGGTGCATGCTGTAGAATGTAAGGGGTGTTTCAGATGAGCAGGCTTGCCAAAAAAGGCCTGTCTGTGTATTTTTCTGTCAGTAGCCACATTTCCCCCACCGTCCTTGATACCTTCTACTAATTCTGTCAATAGAAGAATTAATCCTGCCCCCTCCTTCCTTGACACCTTCTACCAAGTGTTATCACCAGCATGTTTTCCCACGACCGGTGGCATGATACAGGGCCTGGAAGCATTAACTTGAGCCTCTGGCGATGTCTCTTGCTCACCTCTGAAGGAATGCTCCATACTCTGTCTGCAGATCTCTTCAGAAGCTAATATGTGTAGAAAAAAGAAAAGATTCTTTCTCTGTGGGGAAGTAACCACCGGCCATTGTCAAGGTTGTTCTTATACCTGGATGCTCATGCTTTGTAAGTCAAGGAGCTGTCACGGCAGCCTGGGAATACAGTGCTGTTTCTACCACAGTTCTCATTTTAAAAAATATGAAAAAGCAGGACATACAACTACTAACGCTGGGAAGGATGGCAAACCCCTGGCAGGAAAAGCTTGAGAGCTCTGCACAAGTGAACACCTGCAGCCTGGGGTTTAAGTCACAGCTTTGGGCTTGATGTGTCCACCTCAGCTTTATTTTTCTTGAATAAAATATAAAACTTTAAAAACTATAGGATTAAATGAATATATCATCTCCTAGATTATTTTTTTTTTCTTTGGAAGTTTCATCAGAGAGTGGCAGATACTGCCTGGCTGCAGCCCACTGATCACTCACTTCCTGGCTGCCTCCCTAAACCAGCTTGCTCCCTGATATGACGGTGCTTTTTGCTCTGAGCAGTTTGGAGTGCTTTAAAAATCTGCTGTAATCCTGTGTTCCCCTTTCAGCTTGAAGCTGTTCAAGCCTGGCCAGGAAGCTGTGAAATACCAAGGTCCCCGGGACTTCCAGGCGTTGGAAAACTGGATGCTGCAGACACTGAACGAGGAGCCTGCCGTGAGTGCACAGAGGGCTCCCTCCCTCTCTTTCTTCCTACATTTTGGGGTAATAAAGAGGCCGGTTTAGGTGAAAAGTTAAGGATACTATTTTGAGACTACTTTTTACTTTTTTAGGACTCATTGATATAAGATTAACTTTTTTTCCTTCTCAAATTTTTTTATTGTGTTAAAAAAACACAACAAGAAATGTACCATCTTCACTGTTTTAAGTGTACAGTTTAATGGCATTAAATACATTCATCATGTTGTGCCAAAATCACCACCATCCTTCTCCAAAACTGTCTTCATCTCTAAGATGAAACTCTGTACAATTAAACACTTAACTCCCCATCCCCCTCCCCCCAGCTCCTGGCAACCACCACTCTACTGTTTGTCTCTATGTTTTTAACTCTAAGTACCTCATGTAAGTGGAAAAGATTAACTTTTAACAAACTTTTTATTATGGAAATACTCAAACATGTACAAAAGTAGAAAGAGTCTAGTGCCGTGATGTCCAACCCGTGTGCCGCAAGAATTTTTAAAACAAGCAATAGCTGACTCTCCCAGTAGTTAGCTATGTGTGCCACAAGATGAAAAAGGTTGAAAATTGCTGGTCTAGTGAATGATGTCTGAGTGATGAGGAGTGTAATGAAGATGGTCCCCTGTGCCCATCCCTTGCTTCAACAAGTATCCCAGAGTGTGAATCCTTCCTTTTCTTCTCAACCCTCAGTCCGTAAGATGTTACTGGCTTTGCTGATATTGTAACTTAATACTCTTAAAACTTTTAGTGTCTTAATTTCCTCCGTACACTAAGGGTAATATCAGGAAGTTGTGGAAACTGGATGATTTCTGAGATATTTTTAAAAGACATTGCTGTGTGTAGAATGTTACTTACTAAAAAAAAACATTTACAATACTCTCCTCTTCGACGTTGGGAGTCTTAATTTTTTTATGAGTCATTATGATTGTAAATCATTCTTTACGTGTCCCTTCGAGCATGGTGCTGACTGCTCAGTCCTCAGAGGCTCAGGGACGTTGGTGGTCTGTGGTGTTGTATTGGTGAGGGACTGGAAAGGTGGCCAGTATTCCCATCTGGACGTTTCTGATGAAAAATTTTAAGAGCAGCCGAAGTCTTTGAATGTGATTTCAATTTAAACACTTAACTTAGACTACTTTATTGTATCAGATAGGTGTTCACAGACTTAAAGGTTGTTTGTGCTCATGTGCGATTCCAGTCTTTGGGGGCTCAGCTGCCACTGCTGTCATTTTCCAGGGTGTCTGTGTGGTCCTTCATGATGTGTCCCTTCAAGTGTGGTGCCAACTGTCAGTCCCCAGAGGCTCGGGGGACTTTGATGCCTCCTACGTGCACCTGTATCTCACATCTTATAGTCTATGAGTATATGGTGAAGAATGCTGGAATGAGGCATTGAATAAGTTGACCAGAGGGTTGTCTAATTTAAGTAACATGGGAAACCACAAACCTCACAGAGAGTAATTTGCATCTCCATCTTGGCAAGAGAGCTGGGTGAGCCAGGTGCGACTTTCATGTAGCTTTTAGCTTCAGATTCTTTTCTTTTGTGAGAATGTTCTCTGTTGGGAGGAAGCTAATTTTAGAGAGGAGTTAATAGTTTCGAAAAGACTTTTAAAATAAACTTCTCACACAACATAACCCACAGTCTTCTACATTGACGTTATTTAAGAAACCCGCAGCCAGTATCAGGATGGCAGAGAGGCTCATCTGTGGGCCAGTGAGCATCCCGTTCATGGAGGACAGCCATGTGCAGGCTGGGAGGGCCGTGCGTGGGGCCAGGGCCAGGCTCAGCGTAGATGTCCTGAGAAGCAGCGTCTTGTCTCAGTGTGGGAGGGCACGGTGCATGGAATCCACCCATCACCACCCTAGAATCACAGTTAACCCACTGGCCATATCTTAGTGCCTCAGAGCAATAGGGATCTCAGCCAACTGCTAGAAACAATGACTGTCCTTCCGGTAGAAGAGCTCATATAGTCAAACTTTATATTGCAATCTGAAAACCTTTTCAGTTTGAACTTTGCTGATTATTGTAAACAAGTTTTTTTTAAAGTTGTTATCTGTATTTATATCTATGTAACTTTGATATATACATTTTTATATTTAGACAGGATAAATTTAGATTTTTCCCCTGAGTGTATGGCAATATTAAAGAAACTCAAAGAGAAGAAAACCTACCATTTCTTACAGTCTGCCCCAATTTTTACATTTCCGTGTTTACATCTGTATTAAACAGTTATAGTCATATAAACATAGTTCTTTTCATGAATGACCTTCTTATATAGTGATATTGTTTTATACTGATCACATATCATGACAGTGGATATTTAGTTATTTATAATTTTCTGTCATCAGAAGTGCTGTAAGGAACATGTTTATGAAGGACATTTTTTTCTACCTCTCAGGAATGTGTTTAGAATATATTCCCAGACATAAAATAGCAAGACAAAAAAATAAATAAATAAATAAATAAATAAATAAATAAATAAAAGCAAGACCACTTTTATGGCTCTTGATCAATATTGGCAGATTGTTTTCTTAAGAATCTAGAGTGGGAAAAAGATGGCAGCTGGCAGGATGGAGGTGCGGGAGAGGGTGTGAGTGAGTGAGCGGGTGAAAGGAGAGTGTGTGGATGTGTGTGGTGTGGGTGTGAGTGAGGGACAGTTAGATTCTGCAGGAGTATCAGGGGCTGGCAGACCAGGCTCTCCTGGATGGGGAGCCCCTGCCATCATTGCAGGCACTACCTGGGCTGCTGGGTTCGAGCACGGAGCCCACACCATATTGAAGGGGAGAACAGCATCCTCTAGGAACTCATCATCACCATCACCCAGACTGGCCTTGGACACTGCTCAGGACCCTGCAGCCACACCAGCCAAAGTTCTGCTGCCTGGCCTGCATGCAGACTTGCAGACCTTAGAACGTCCACTTCCAAGGGTACATGGCTCCCACATCAGTAAGTGAGACTTCCCTGCCCCGGCCGCCAACCTCCAGACACTGCAGTCGTGCCGAACCAGCACGCACAGGGCCCACTCACTCCCTGCCCTGGCAGGCGGCTTCCCAGTGCTTCTGGGAGCTGCCCCTGGATGCGCGTGCATCCAACTAAAGGTGCACGGCTCCTGTAGCAAAAACTTGGACTTACCCCGTGCTGGCTGCCAACCTTTGGACACCACAGTCACACTGAACCAGCGCACATGGGGTCCCCTGACTCCCCGTCCCGGCAGGCGGCTTCCTGGTGCCTCTGGGAGCTGCTTGTGGGCACACAGACATCCAACCAAGGGCACACGGCCCCTGTAGCAAAAACTCGGACTTCCCCCTCCCCAGTGCCAGCCCACAGACACCACAGTTGTGCTGCACAAGTGCGCGGGCCCCCCTAGCCCGCCGCCTTGGCAGGCGGCTCCCGGTGCCTCTGTGAACCACTGCAAGGCAAAAGCATACCCAACCAAGGGCGCAGGGCTCCTGCAGCAGAAGCTGGATCTTGCACCTCCCCGGCTGCCAGCATCCGGTCTCCATGGTCGCACCGCTCCAGCACGCAGGCCCCCTGAGCCTACTGCCCCAGCGGACAGCTCCTGGGTGACTCTGTAAGCCACTGCTGGGTACGTGCATACCCAACCAAGGGTGCACTGCTCATGAATATCAGAAACTGGGACTTCCCCCTCCCCAGCATCTGGACACCACAATACGCCACAATCGCGCCGCTCCAGCGTGTGGGCTCCAGGAGCACACAGCCCTGGCAGACAGCTCCTGGGCCCCTCTGAGAGCTGCCACTAGGCATGTGCCTCCCCAACTAAGGGCCCATGGCCCCCTCTTTAGGATCCATGACTTCCCCCTCCCGCCTGCCTGCTCTGGACATGGTGAGTTACTGAGGACTCGCCTCCCCAGACAAGGTCACATGGCTTCAGCCACAGACACTGAGACTCCCACATCTCCAGCTGCTGGCTCCTGGACCCCCTCGTGATTCTCAGAGGGAAATCACTTGGGCCAGAGTCCCACTGCCTCAACTGCAGACTATGGGACAACTGCTCCCCATGGTCACAGGCTCTGGGACCTCATAGTGAATTGCAGAGTGACACTACCTCAGCAAGAATCACACAACACTGGCCAAAGTTACACAGTACCTGAGCCGCAGGCCCCAAGACACTTTCTTCCCAGGCCATGGACTCCAGGAAATCACAGTGAACATATACCAATGAGACCTCAGACAACCCTTTCCATAAGAGCTGGAACCACTATCACATCCACAACAGCTTGCACAACGAAACCGGGGTAAGTCACATTGCCAGACAATCTGTGGCGTGACTTCATCCACGAATGAGAAATCAACGTTCAAAACCCAACTACATCAGAAGAACTTAAATAGCACAAGTAGGGGGCTCCACTAGATCACCAAGCCCAGGGGATCTGAGAGACTGCACCACTGGGTCCCAAAAATCACCAACTACGTTGAACCACCCCCAAAAGAATCTGGATAGCAAAACAGTTGGATCTAAGACATACAATTAAAACAATACAGCAAAAAATGGGGAGACAAAAAAAACCCCCAATACCCAAAGGAAAAAAAAGGGAATCACCAGAAAAAGAATTAAATGAAATGGAGGCAAGTAACTGGACAGAGAAAGAATTCAGAGTAATGGTTATAAGGATGCTTAAACGTCTGGAAGATAAATACACACAATTCTATGAGAATTATAAGGAGCTGGATGATTATGTTACCAACATGAAAAGGAATCAGGAGGAGATGAAGAATGACATAGCTGCAATAAAGAACACAATGGAAGGCTTCACCAGTAGAGTAGTAGAAGCTGAGGACCACATCATTGAGCTACAAGACAAGGTAGAAAAAACCACGAAAATACAGCAACAACTGGAAAGAAAATTTAAAAAGCAGGAGGAGAGTCTAAGAGAGCTTTGGGACAACATGAAATGAAACAACATCCACATAATAGGGGGGTATCAGAAGGAGAGGAAACAGAACAAGGAATAGAAAACCTGTT